CATGAGATCGCCTCCTACCCAGGGTTCGCTAAAAATATTCCTACCGCCGCAAGACACTGGGTTGGGATCTGCGGCAGTGCAAGCCTGCTTCCATGCAGGATGAGAAGAATCGAGAAGGGACTCGAATGAGAGACACGAAGGCAAGCAAACACGATGGCAGCCTAGGGAAACCCCACTACACTTTCGAGGTTCCGCTTTCTCTCTTGGATTCCACTGTGGGCAGGGATCTTAGGGACCGAAAAAAACAAAACCTCCCGTCATGACTCGGTGCGAGGCAAAGCAGCATGGCGACCTGGGTCGCAAATGTGGACTTCGACATCAAGCCCAGTGGCATAACCCAATCCCGAAGGGCAGAACTAGTCGGGAGCAATAATTCCGGCAGCAGGTGCAATGAAGCAACGAAACAAGAAAGAGGAAGAACAGGGCTCGGCGATCCCCATTCCGGGTCGAAGTTCTCCTCATCCCACTCAGTGCTGTGGGCCGTAGAGTACCACGTGCCGCTGTTGGTGGAAAGGTTCAATCGATGTAGCCTGTAGAGGGCGTTCTCGACATGAGACCTTCGGGTGGGTGCATCGCCTTTCGCCAAGTACTCGTGTGGAGAACGTTCGCGTCGCACAGGACAGCCAAAACCAGCTCGACTGGAATCTCGTCTATCCGGTGCTCACGAACCAGAATTTGGAACTCAAAGTGCAGCGTCGTGGAGCGGCGCCCGTCCGTTCTTTTCTCGGTGGTGCTGGGTGGCCTTATTGACATCTGGCCGTGAAGCCGCAAGTGGGGCACCCGCGGATGCAAGGATTTAACGTTAAAGCCCTGAACACTGGTCCGAATTAGAGGCCTCATCGAACTTATAGGTAGCCACCTACTGCTGCTTACGAGAGACACAGAGAGAGAGAGAGAGAGAAAGAGAGAGAGAGAGAGAGAAAGAGAGAAAGAGAGAAATTCTTGCGGAACCTTGCTTGCTGCGTCTGCTGCGATTCTGGTTGAAGGCCCAATAGATTCGCTTAGGGAAGCAGAACGAGTATAAAATAAACACACTCCGAAAGAGTATCACCTCCACAACCAGAAACACAATCGAACGCAATGTTCCATAGGGTCTGGCCGCGTCGAGGCCACATCGTCTCAGCAGCACAACAGCACCTTTGAGCAAGGGTACGATCAGCAGAGCTTCGTCGAGCTTGATCTACGTGACTTTGTTCACATCCGCGACGCCGCTAGGTGCACGTTGTCTTGCACACAATCAACACAACGCGTCGCTGCACCACTTGCAAAATTGGAAACGGGATAAGGACAGCCCGTTACCGAGCGATTGTCTTGCTGAGGAGAAGACCGGCGGGCATCTTGCGAGTCAAGAGAACCTGAGCTGCAGCAAACGGTCTTGGAATGGATGCAAGAGAAGCAAAGAAACACACACACACCAATACGCACTCGCTTTCCTACTGCCACGCATTTTTTTTGCACAGCAGCCTTGCCTTGCTAACTTTGCTACACCGCGCCGCCGAACTTTCGCAAGACAGCGTCCATTCGCCAGCAGCGCGTGCCTCCAAGTTCAGAGACCCACAGCCTCGCCTTGCTAACTTTGCTACACCACCCCCCCGAACTTTCGCAAGACAGCGTCCATTCGGCAGCGCGCGCCTCCAAGTTCAGAGACCCATGGTGTGCAAGCAGGCCTCCATCTCTGCGGTGAGATGCTTCCCGGCCCAGCCGCGAGCGTTCATCCTCGAAGAGACGCAGTGCACATCGAAGTTCGGGAGGCCGGCGTAGTGCTGCATGCCGCGAACGCATCCCTCACTGGCCGCGTAAAGAAATTTGTACTGGGCTTTTCGCTCTGCCGTCAGCTTGTCGTGCTTCCTTTCGAAGCCAAGGCAATGAGGAGCATCCGGACAGTCAGATCCCGGACGCTCGGTCTCAGATGCAGGCCCGGGCTCATTCCGAGAGGCAGGCCTTGTCTTCGGGCCGGCAGACGGCGGCTGCGGTCCACGCCTCCCAGAGCCTGCCGCCCGCGAAGCGGTGTCATTTGCATGACTCCAAAACCCGCTGTTCGCAGAGCCGGAGGTGCCGGAGAACCACGGGGGGACATCAGAGAGATTTTTGCGATACGTTTCAAGACGAGTCATTTCGCCGGTGAGAAACTTGGTGATCTCATTCCCCGCCGGGCCGATCTTGTCTGGATGGCACCGAAGCATCATCTTTTTGTACCTGTTCCTCAGCAACTTCATGTCTACAGTCGCTGAGCATTCACCAAACACTCCAAGATGATCAAGAAAGTTCTTGAAAGATCCATCCATGTGCTCCACACACGCTGCTTTCGCAAGACAGCGTCTGCACTGCGTAAACAGAATAGCTACAATCGCACCGATCTTGAGCCAGGCTGCAAGAGACTGGCATCACGTGCAGAGCATACCCTGCGAAACATATGTGCAGCAGAGGCAAGGTGCACGCTGTCTTGGAAAAAAAAAACAAACACAAACACACAACGCGTCGCTGCACCACTTGCAAAAAATGGAAACGGGATAACTACAGCCCGTTACCGAGCGATTGTCTTGCTGAGGAGAAGACCGGCGGGCATCTTGCGAGTCAAGAGAACCTGAGCTGCAGCAAACGGTCTTGGAATGGATGCAAGAGAAGCAAAGAAAAACGCACCAATACGCACTCGCTTTCCTGCTGCCACGCTTTTTTTTGTTGCGCAGCAACCTTGCATTGCTAACTTTGCTACACCGCGCCGCCGAACTTTCGCAAGACAGCGTCCATTCGGCAGCAGCGCGCGCCTCCGAGTTCAGAGACCCATTCCTTGCAAGCATGCCTCCACCTCTGCGGTGAGATGTTCCTCGGCCCAGCCACGAGCGTTCTCCCCGCACGAGACGCAGTGCACATCAAAGTTCGGGAGGCTGGCGTAGTGCTGCATGCAGCGAACGCATCCGTCACTGGCCGCGTACATAAATCTGTACTCCGCTCTGCGCTCTGCGGTCAGACGGCGGTATTTGCCTTGAAAGCCATCGCAATGAGGCTCCTTCGGACAGCCAGATTCCGGACGCTCGGTCTCAGATGCAGGCCGGGGCTCATTCCGAGACGCAGGCCTTGGCTTCGGGGTGGCAAACGGCGCCTGTGCTCCACGACTCCCAGAACCTGCTGCGTGCGAAGCGGTGTGATTCGCATGACTCCTAAACCCGCTGTTCGCATAGCCGGAGGCGCCAGAGGACCACGGGGGGAGATTTTTGCGATACGTCTCCAAACGAGTCATTTCCCCGGTGAGAAACTTGCAGAGCTCATTCTCCTTGTCGCCGGCCTTGTCGGGATGGCACGTAAACATCTTCCCTCTGTACTTCCTCCTCACCATCTTCATGTCTACAGTCTCTGCGCGTTCAGTAGACAATTCAAGAAGTTCAAGAAATTTCTTGAAACCTCCAGCCATGTGCTCCGCACACAGTGCTTTCGCAAGACAGCGTCCGCACTGCAAGAATAGCTACGATCGCACCGATCTTGAACCAGGCTGCAAGAGACTGGCATCACGCGCAGAGCATGCCCGACGTGCAGCAGAGGCAACCCAAAACTCCGAGTAAGGCCCGTGCAGCAAGGACTGGATGGTGGTCGCCGAAGAACAGGAAACTGCGCAGCAAAGAAAAGCAAGCGACGCCGATGCACTCGTTTGCTCCCTCACACTCACTCAGCAGCTTTTGCACACTCCGTCGGTGCAATCACGGCTCCGTGCAGAGGCTACATATATAGCCCACGAGCAGAACGTGCAGCTTTCGCAAGACAGCGTCCACTGCTCCGCACAGGGAGGCTACATCTAACATATATAGCCCACGGTCGGAATGCAGCTTTCGCAAGACAGCGTCCACTGCTCCGCACGAGGACAAGACTGCACGACCTTTAGTCAACTCTACTCCTACGTGCGTCTCTGTCGCTGAAATACGATCATAAGTTCGAGTTCCGTCTTCAGCAACTCCTTCATGAGATCCGTCGCATGGATGGTGTTCACGGAAACGATCTTATCCCCTTTCTGCACCCGCCGCACACGGCACGACGACGAGGAAGGCATCGACTCCATGAGTGCGTTGTGCGTGTCAACAAGCCCATCTGGTACGACTTCGAACACCTCCATGGTGCGAGTGACATATTTCAGTCCGATCTTACTCTCTCTGCTGTCACGATGAAGCATCACCATAAATTCTTACTTATGGGTCCGCATTCCATGAAGCGGGGGTGGAGGCGGAGGACGATGACCGCCTCCTTGCTCGGCACCACGATTGAACAAAGCAGCCACACGCTCTCTGACGATTTCATTGCCAGGACGAGGCCGCCGCATATATAGCCCACGAGCAGAATGCAGCTTTCGCAAGACAGCGTCCACTGCTCCGCACGGGGAGGTTATCAAGGCGGTTCAGGCCAAACACTGCAGAAGTGTGGACAGGTGGAGCAGCGACATAAAACTGCTCAGACTCGATAACACACGTCGAAGCTCACAAGTAGAATATTGAATACTTGACAACACGACATGAGCCAAATCGTAGTATCAAAACCCAGCAACACAGTTGCACGTCAACAGATAGGATCGGCTGCTGTGCCTTCTCCTCGCACCGAGGCAGCAGCTTCTGGACCTCGTGCAGAGAACTGCACTCATAGCACACGAAAACACGCATTTCGCTCGTGTGCAGACGCATATGTTTTTATCGTCGTCGTGCTAACCATGCGAAATGGGCTCCGCCGCGCCGGTCGAACTTTCGCAAGACAGCGTCCATTCGGCGGCTTGCGGCAGCCGGAGCTGCACTCGATCGTTAAAAAAAAACAGCAAACCAAGCCCCACCAGCGGCTCAGGCACTCTGCCACCCTTCGGAAAGGGTATATAGCAGTGTCCCGTCCTCGGAGCGCAATTCGGCACGAAGTGGCATGTGGAGACGATACCACCGGGTCCGCTCAGGGGTCTTCTCCAACAGTTGCATTTCCTTGGCGACACTTTATCCTGATCAAAACAAAAGCGCATGCTGTCGTGTCCCTGCAATTCACGAGATTTTCCAAGATGCCAGCAGCGTCATGTAGCCGATCGCGGTGAATGTGATCTCATGTGCCCGCACGGCATGCGGGTCGCCATGAAGCGTCCACTCTCCTCCCTGCCATGAATGTAAGTCGCTCTCCACGCAGCGTTGAATGGCCTCCGAACGACAGCAACTGAAACGATGCCTTAACACTTATCGCTGTTATGTATCACCGCCGAGGCGCTGTGACTGCGTCAGGACGCAATCCCCAGCGACCCCTGTGCGTACCCGCCACTTGCCCTCCGGCCAGGACTCGATCCGACTGACCGGCTGTCAGGCCCACGAAGACACGAAGTTCATTCATGGCAGAAATTGCCATTACTCACCCTGTGCTTTCGCAAGACGGCGTCTGCACAGCCCACAAACAGATCAAAGCTGCTATGCCGCTGATGTTGAACCAAGCTGCGCGAGGCTGACATCACGTGCAGGGCAGAGTATCATACGACACATGCCGGTCTGAGACAGCCGAGGCTCTGAATACATCCACATAAGGTCCCCGCACGAAGGCGCGGATGATGCTTCCCGTAGAGTCCTTCTGCTTGCAAGACGACATGCGAGTTTCTCGACGATCGTTTCTGTTAAGAGCACAACACCGCACACACCCCAGACCTGGCTTCGCAACCTTCGGCCACGACGTAG